AGGGGGAAAAAAAAAAAGAACCAAGATACTCATGTAATGGTACAAGATCCCAATGATGAATGTAACTGTATTGTATACCTAAAATGTACCAATAAAGTTAATGGGGGGGGAAAAAAAAAGAGTACCATATGATCTAGCAGTATCACTTCAGGGTAAATATAGTATTTGAAGGAAATGAAGTCAATATGTTGAGATTTGCATTTCCACGTTCACTGAAGCATCATTCACAATAGCCAAAATGCACATCAACCTACATGTCCAGGAGCAGATGAATACAGAAAAAGTGCTATATAAACATAATGGAATATTACTTATCCTATCATTTGTGAAACAAGCATAAACCTGGAAGACTTTTTAAGTGAAATAACCCAGGTACAGAAAGACAAATACCACATGGTGCCACATGTAAAATCTAAAAAAACTGAAATCACAGAAGCAGAAAGTAGAACAGTAGTTATGAAAGGATAGGCAGTGGTGGATCGGAGGAGATTGGGAAATGTTGGTCAAAGGATACAAAATTTAACTTAGATAAGAATAAGCAAGAAATCTGAATACTTAAAAACTGCTAAGAAAATAGATTTTAAGTTTTCTCACATCAAAAAATGGTATGAGGTAATATGAATATTAAGTAGCGTCACTTGATGATTCCACAACATATACATATATCAAAACATGCTGTATACCATGAATACATAAAATACTCATCAATTAAAAAGTTTTAAAGTAAACAAAATGAATTATTACAAAGTAAACAAACCTCTTTAATGTCCAGCCAGGTCAAAAAACATCAGGACTCCAGAAATCCCCAACTTCCCCAGTAACTCCCCTCTACCTCCCCAAAAGTAAAACCACCTGCCTTCTAATACCATAGATTAGTACTGCCTATTTTAGAACATTAAGTAGCAGAACCATGTTTCTTTTGCATCTAGTTTTCACTTAATATTTCTGTGATTAATCCATAATGTTATATTCATTGATTTAGTTCCACCATGATCACATCAATTTATGTAGTGCACACTTGGGGTTTTCCAGTATTTGGTTATTACAAATAATGCCAGGGGGAGCTAGTATCTTGCATATGGCCTTTGGTACAAATTTGCATGCATTTTTTTGTATATATACCTAGGCCTACAATTGCTGGGTCATAAGAGTTTATGTGTGTGTGCAGCTTTCACAGATAATGCTAAGTAGTTTTCAAAAGCAGTTCAGTTTGCAGGCACATGGAAGTCTGAGTCTTTTGTTCCATACTCTCACCAACACTTGATTTTTTTTTTGTTTTGTTTTTTGGTACTGGGGATCAAACTCAGGACCCTGCACTTGCGAGGCAGGTGGCAGAACCACTGAACTAAATCCCCGGCCACTTGATTTATTAGTCCTGAATTTTAGTCATTTTGTTTAAGTATGTAGTAGTTTACCACTGCAGTTTGATTTTTGCATTTCCCTGATAATACCTTTTCACATACTTGTTGGCCATTTGGCTATACTCTTGTGAAATGCCAATTCACATGTTGTGCCCATTTCTCTAATGGGCTTTCTTTTTTGTTGAACTATAGTTTCACATCTATTAAAGCAAACATAAATCCTTTGTCAGTTTTATGTGTGCAAATATACTTCAAATCCATAGCTTAATCACTTTTAATATATAGGAAAACTAAATTTTTGTTCTATGCAAAAAATCAAGTCCATATTTGAAATAGTATATGGTATACACAAACTACATTTTCATTAAATATATTTATAGCAAATAGTCTTTCATTATATCCTCTGAAAACATTTCAAAAGAAAGTCTCTTATCTTAATAGTTTCATGTATTGTATAAGTGGGTGCACACTGACAAGTTCCAAAGAAATAATGCTTATTTAAAATGGAACATTTGCAGGGCCAGGGATTTAGCTCAGTGGTGCCATGCCTGCCTGGCAAGCACAAGGTCCTGACTTTGATCCTGGTACCAAAAAAAAGAAAAAAGAAAAAATGGAACATTTGATAAATACAAATATTTGATAAATTTTATATCTATTCTGCTTTTGTTTGATCGGATTTTGTGTTTATAGTAAAGGAGAGAACAGTTTAACAGATATCATTGTATATAAATAGCTGAAAACCTCAACTCTTGAGAGGAAAATGAGCTGGAGACTTGAGATTAAGTCCTAGAAGATTTTTTTTTTTGGTACCGGAGACTGAACTCAGGACCTTGAGCTTGTGAGGCAGGCGGTGGAACCACTGAGCTAAATCCTCCGCCTTCTAGATTTTTAATGTGGATGGAAGAACTCAGCACCTAGTCTTTTCTTGTAGCAGGACCATCACCTATATCTTCCACCAACATGCACCCCTACATTCTAACCCTTTTCTTTCCCTTTCCTTTTCTCAGGAAAAGATGGCCTGTTGTCCAAAAGTGTTTAGATTTATCACTTCCCAACTACTTCCGAACTACTCAGAGGCATTTCCAAGTTCAATAAATAATATATTTTGCATAATCACTTTTTTAAAACATTTCAAAGCCAGTTAAAGTGCTACTTCTTTTATGCAAACTTTTACCATGCTGCTGCTGCATCAAGAAGCTGTGATATGTGTAGCTCAGTGATAGAGTACACATTTAGCATGCATGAGGCCCTGAATTCAATCTCCAGAACGATTTAAAAAGAAAAAGCTGAGAGGAGGAGATGTAATAAAAGTTCTCTTGGGACATACTGTCCTGTACTGCTTGTTTAACTTTTATTAGACTTTTGAACCGATGATCGAACTCAGGACCAGGCAGGTGCGTCACCACAGAGCTACATCCCCAAGTTACTTTGAGATTGAGAAGGGAAATCAGGAAGACATTTTCTCAGAACCTCCTATATTCTGTACTCAAGGGTAATTAAAAAAAAAAATCAACTAAGAAGGAACACTTCCTAACTCATTTTATGAGCCCAGAATTACCCTGACACCAAAGCTACATAAACATACCACAAGAAAACCACAATCCAATTTTTTTTAAAGAGAGTCTCACTTTGTAGTTCAGGAAGGCCTTAAACTCACAGTGATCCTCACATCTCAGCCTCCAAGTGGAAGAATTACAGGTATGTGCCATTATGCTCAGCTTTTTCATTTCTAATGTGGTAAATATGTAGGAGATATTCATGAAATGTTACACTTCCAGAAAAAATTTAGTTCTGTCTTCAAAGCTAACAGTTAGTTGTCCTTTGACTTATGGAATGGTAGTCAACAAGTTAAGGGTTTCTTAGGTAGCATGGAGAAAAGAATTCCATATTAAATTATGGGGAGTTAAAAAGTTGCTTCTTTACATTCCCTCAAAAATGGAAGGGAATGATTTTCTCTTGTTGACATAAGGTCTTGAACCTAGGTGTATACATTCAGACTACATACACATATCAGAAAATCAGGAGGAAAACAAACAGAAGAGATTGGAAGACAGAAATTTTCACTCACCCTTCCCAGTGTACTCTCTATTTAAAAAGATCTAAAAGACTTGTGAAAAGAGAAGAAATAAATGGCAAGTTTTAATATTAAATCTCCTTTTCTACCTGGCCCCAAAAGCCAATCCCACAGCTGGAGCTGGGAAAGGTCAAGTGTAACTCTGCCCATGAAGGAGGACCTTATCTGTATCCCACCTTCCTCACTCCATCACCACCTATGCAAAAAGGGCAATTATACTGTTTTGCAAATCCTAATGTGGACTTACCTAATTTTATTATTAAGAAATTTTGAAACTGATTCAGTTTTCATTCAATATGTCTATCTTATATAAAGCAACCACAATGGGGATTCATATAAATCATATTTTTAAAAACCAGTTTGTTTCATGAATTTAATTTTTTAATTAATAGCAACTGTGTACAATAAAAATATATGAAAAGTGCTTTTCTAAATCAGGGTAGAAAACACATTTTGATGATGCAATTCCTTTTAACATACTTTACTAAGACATTGCTCACAAATTAGGGGAAATCTTCTTTACCAGTAACAGGATAGTACTTATTTTACAACATAAGTTAAAAGGACCAAAAAATAATTTGGCACCATAACTCTGACGAATTCTAGAGCTACTGGTTTCTAGTACTGTACTTTCAAACTACACTTTTAGTACACAAAGCTTTAATACCAAATCTAATAATAACTCCTAAAATGATCCAAACAAGCACACTATGTTTAACTCCTATGATCACACATACATACTAATTTAGGCCATCAAACATAAACCTTCCCCTGCAACTAAACATTAAGATTAAATATATAATACTATCTTTTTTGAAACAAGGTTATTAATACCAAAGCAGACTAGAACATGAATGTTAACAGGTGAAGAACCAATAATTCTTTTTTTGTTTCAAATGGTTTCTAATGTTCAATAATAGTTCAAAGACTTTTCTATACAGGCCAATATTAACCTATTTTGTTTTATGAGAGAAATGTACGAACTGTACCTTTAATTATACCCCTGCAAATAGGGCACTTTCTTAGAGAAGGGGCACATTCCTGGCATACTACCAGATGACCGCAAGGAATGAATACAATAGAAACTTCTTTGTCCATACACACTTTACAGGTTCTTTCTTCTTGCAACCTCCTCAACTGTTCTTCCAATGACAGGCCTAATAACAAAAAGAACTTTAGTGAAATTCAGTTTCCACTTTACTTCTCCTAAGAAAAATAAGGGTTAATATGTCGTGTTGGTCTTAATTCTACTTTACCTGAAACATCTTCTGTTGGAATATACTTCATATTCTTTTCCACTGAGGAAAAAAAGCATATAAAAAACATCACTTTACCAAATACAAAGCTATGTTTTTCACCTATCTACTGAATAATATAGATTCAACCTGTATATTATCAAGAACTATTATATTTTAGACAATGAGACATCACTTTTTTGGAACAAGTGGAATTAGTACAGTTTACTAATTGGATTTATTCTGCTTATCAAGCAGAGAGATGAACATAATCCTAAGGATTTCTAAAATAATTTTCCCAATAAACTCACCAAATAAGTTCTCATATAATGCAGAATCAATTTCTTTCAGGCAGTTTTTGAAGATGTTGGCTGCAGCATTTCCTTTAACTAAAATGGTATCAATCAGTTCTCTTGCTTGTAAAGGTATTTGTGTTTTTTGTTTAATAATATCATGTTCCTGTTTATTAATTACATTGGTCTTTAAAAGATTATCCAGGACAGGAAGGACACTTGTCAACTGTTGAAAGAGAGCCATTCTATTCTTCCGAATTAACGACAAGTCATCTTCATTTTGAAAGAAAGAAGAAAGTCCATTAGATTTTAAACTCCTCCAACACACTCATATAGTCACTAACAACCAACCTACAAACAATTTAGGCACTAGAGCTTGAAAACTAAGAAAATGATTTGTTTGTACTTTAATGTCTGTAATTTGGAAAACTGTCAGAAGATTAAAGCAAGACATATAAAGTACATACAAGGTCTATTTCAATAATTTTTAAGAAAGAGCCCTGCTTTTCTTTTACTCTGTTGAAAATACGCAGAAAATTTTAAGAGGATAATAAAAATTTCCCACCTATATTCCTCTCAGCATGGAATTAATACTAATTTCTATTTGCATTGTCACTTTTCTTTTTTATAAATACTCGCATTTAATTTTCATTTGATATAAATATATTGGTAATTAAACAAGGCAAGTATTACTGTCTCTCATTTTCAAATTGAGAAGAAAAGAGTCAGAATAGAATTAGTGACTTATACAAGGACACAGAATAAGTTGCCAAGCCAGGTGTTCTTTTCAGCATCCCACAGAACTTCAGTGATGCAGATCTTGAGCTGTGAAGTCAAGACAGACCCAGGCTCCTGTGCAAGATGAGCCACTTACTAGCCACGTGCCCCAACATCCCTCCATATGCCTCAGATTCCTACTGTAAAATACAGACAATAACAGTAGTTCTTCAGTTAGAGGATCAAATATTTGTAGTTATAAAGCATTTAGCACAACATCTGGCACATAGCTATCATCGTTTTATGCCAATTTAAAAAAAAATCATTACATCAAATCAAGCTTGATCTTATTAAAAGCAAAAGTTTTTCCTTTAACCTCAAATCACTTAAAATTCTATAGTTAATTTACTACATTTATGGAATATGGACATGAATTCTTCAGGTATTAACAAAGTTCCTTTTTTTGGTGCCCCAACCACTATAAAATTGCCTATTTTCACACTTTCCAAAAAACGTTTAATTTACACCACTACAATATACAAGTTTAATGAGAAATAAATTATAAAAAGAAGTTCAGTTTCCTTCCCCTTTATTTTTCTAGACGTAAACTGCTTTATTCATCTTGAAACTATGAAATTTCCTTCTCTGACCACAACCTACCCTTCTACCCTAATAATTTGCATCACTGCTAACAAATTTGTTCTTCACCTTTCCAAGATCCCCATGCCATTCCTGATTCTATTAGCACAAGCACTGTCTTGGTTTGTTTATCTCCCATTCTAACCTAGGTATCAGTCAGGTGTTTCAACAGTATTCTCTTCTCAGCATGGTTAACTCTTTTTTCTATTCCTTACTTGGGTTTTTCCCCCATTAATCCACCCAAAACACATAAATCAAGACTATTTTCTGATCTCTACAAAGTAGGAGAAAGTCACAAATCTAAGATAACTAGATTTACTATAGTGATTTCAAATAACCTTACCTGGGCTTCATTACTGCTTAACAATCCTTAATCTTTTCATTTTTTGAGGCCCTTTCACTAAGTCTTTCACCAAGTCATCTCTAGTCCCTGTTCCCAAATAATATATTTGATAGAAGGACTGAGTGAGTGGTAGAACTCGTGCTTAGGCACATAGCATAATTCCAGCATCAAAGCAAAACAAAAACATCTACTGAACAGAAAAAAATGTTTTTCATGTATGAGGCACTGTGTTAAAGTTACTTGCAACATCTTATTTAATTCCTACAGCAACCCTACAGGATTGGCACTATTATTATCCCTATTTCACAGACTTAAAAGCTGAGGTCTAGTTGGATAAACTGCCAATCTAGAAGTTGATGGAAGTCAGAATTTAAATATAAACATCTCTGTCTCAATCTAGAAATTAAGTTCTTAAACCTTTGTGCTCCATGGCCACACATTATTGTAGTCTTAAAAACATTTTTTTTTGTCTTTACTTATAAGCTTAAAAACAAAACTAACTTCCAACCTAATATCCCAATTCATACTATATACACAACCTATACCTCTTTGCTGGCTCTTAAGTCTTCCCAGCTAGTCTATATGCTCCTGGAGAGAAATTACAATAATTAACAATATAATATTGTATAATATAATATAATATAATAATATTTATCACTGGTGCTTGTGTTCCAGTGTTCCATAAGTATTTGTTGAAGGAATAAGTGATTACTCAAAAGACTTGTTTTGGAGAATGAGACAATATAATCTAGATGAATACCAAAATCAGTTCCCTATTATCCTTGGGGTTGGGTGGGGGGTTCTCATCGAGATCTAGGAATTCATCATAAGTTTTTGTTTTGCTTTTGTTTTTTGTTTTTCTTTTTGTATGGAGAATTGGATCTATGGCCTCCACAACTGAACTACAACACAAACCCTTTTTATTTATTTATTGTTTTTGGAGACAGGATTACCTGGGCTGGCCTCAAATTTATAATTCCCCTGCCTCAGCCTTGCAGACTGGTAGGATTACAGGTGTGCACCAACCACCATGCCCATCTTATAAGTTCTATTTTTGTATAAGAATCACTTAGGAAGTATTACTGAATGAAATACCATATTAAAAATATGACTTAAAGGGCGTCATCTATCCAGCCTGTGCAGTGCCCCAGCCCCCTCTTGTCAGATGTGAGTGCAGCTGCAGGAGCGCAGGCAAGACCCTGTGGACCTGAGACACGAGCATCCCACCTAGGCAGTGAATAATAGCTCTGCAAGTCTGCAATACAAAATGGCCTCCAATAAAACTACATTGCAAAAAATGGGAAAGAAACAAAATGGAAAAAGTAAAAAAGTTGAGGAAGCAGAGCCTAAAGAATTTGTGGTAGAAAAAGTACTGGACCGTCATGTAGTGAATGGGAAGGTGGAGTATTTTCTGAAGTGGAAGGGATTTACAGATGCTGACAGTACATGGAAACCTGAAGAAAATTTAGATTGTCCACAATTAATTGAAGCATTTCTTAATTCTCAAAAAGCTGGTAAAGAAAAACACAGTACAAAAAGAAAATCTTTTTCTGACAGTGAATCTGATGATAGCAAATCAAAGAAGAAAAGAGATGCTGCTGACAAACCTAGAGGATTTGGTAAAAGTCTTGATCCTGAATGAATAATTGGTGCCACAGACAGTTAGTGGAGAATTGATGTTTCTCATGAAATGGAAAGATTAAAATGTGGCTGATTTGGTGATGGCAAAAGAGGCAAATATGAAATGTCCTCAAATTGTAACTGCTTTTTATGAAGAGAAACTAACTTACATTCTTGTCCAGAAGATGAAACTCAACAACTTACATCATTTATATATATAAAATATGGGTCTTGGTGTTTAATTCACTAGTGTGAAAAAACCAGCATTCTAATGAAAATCAAGTTTAATATGTTGGTTGTGAAAGTATTTGGGGAAGTTGCTGGGTTTTGTTTGTTTCACATCAATAGCACTAGTTACTCTGAACAAATAAAAAGCTTTCTGTAGTTGCTTCCTTTATCAGAAAACAGCATTTGATAGATTTCCTCTGCTTTTCTAAATATTGGGAAAATTATCCATAATCAAACTCAAACAGAACTCATTTTTAGCTCACATGCTTAAGGACCATTCTGAGTTTTTTGTTTGTGTGTATATAAATAAAATACTTATGTAAATGTTTTTGTTTTTTTAAACATTCACCAAAACAAAAACTATGGGTGATAAACCCATGTTTGAGACGCTATCATTTTGAGCAACCTAAGAAATAAATCACAATTAAATTGAAAGTTTTCCTGAAGCCATAACCTTTCAAGTTAAATAGATGATTCTGTGGTTAATTGGACAGCTTAAAGTGGGTATTTTCAAAACAGCCATATCAGAATACATATCCGTGTGTTTAGTTACAAAAATTTTGCAAGCAGTTTGCTTGCAAAATTCCTAAAAAAAAACTGTGTATCACTACCAACAACTTCCCCACCCAAATATGGTAACTAGTCAAAACCTGGTTTGTTTGAATTAGCTAAGGAAGACTTGTTAAGGGAACATTAAGGATTTCTCATGACCCATTCCCTTACAACAAGTTGAAATCTGTATTTAAAGTCAGAAAAAAAAAAAAAAAGTCAGAATTCATGGATGTCTAAGACTTGGCTCATGGAAACCTACTGAGTGACTAGAGGTGGTCACAATTTAGGACCTGCTGAATAAATGAGTGAACAAATTTATAATCTAAATTATTGACCTGCATGTTTTTCTTGACCCCAAATTGTTCCTTACATGTAGGCTCAATCTTCAGTTTTTGGGTTACCGTTTCAGCAAAAGCCAGAAAAAGAGCTTTGTAGTAGTCAGAATATTATCCTACTGTATATTGTTTACTTTATTGTAAATAATGGTGAGCAGTGGTCAATAAATAGTTTTATATTTTAAAAAAATATATGACTTAGGACCGGGGATTTAGCTCAGTGGTTCCACCACCTGCCTTGCAAGCACAAGGTCCTGAGTTTGATCCCTAGTACCAAAAAAAAAAGTCATTTAAAATAATTTTCTTAAAAAGCAAAAATAAGATCTGTATCCAACTTTAAAATCTTGCTTTTAAGAACAATTTAGATGTTATATATAAAGAAGAAATGCAATACAGCTCAAGAAAAGAGATTATGCTAAACTTTTCTGATTAGCATAAATCAGATTTTTTTTTTTTTGTGGTACTGGGGATCAAATTTAGGACCTTGCACTTTTGAGGCAGGCAGAGCGCCACTGAGCTAAATCCCTGGCCCAATCAGAGAATGTTAACAGAAAATAATCACAAAAAATACTAGATTCGATGGTTCTCAAAGAGAGGCAGCTAGAAGGGGCAGACAAGATCATTTACAAATGACTGAGATGTGTTACCAGGTGTTAGTGGGCATGAGACAAGGATGCTGCCCTGCAACATAAGACAGTGTTATGAGCCCTGTTGGAAAAAATGTAGGTAACTAATATTCCAAATACCTGATGCAATTTCTTCAGCTTGTCTTTCCTTCTCCTCTTCTCTTCTTTCATCTTCAGCATTAAGAAGTGCTGACACAATATCATTAACTGTTTTGTAGTTCTCTCCGGTTGTTAGGATTTTACTCTGAACTGTCTGCTTCACCAGGCTTCTGTTAAAACCCATTTCCAAAGCAGCTTTAACCACAGGGGTATTCATCATGATGGCATCTTCTGAAGAACTTTCTCCAGGTCCAAAATGTACAACTATTTGAAAAGACATGTGCGAATATTCCTCAAATTTAAAACTATGGAGAAAAACATGGCACAAACTTTATGCTCATCATTTACTCTCATATCATGGGTAAGGACATTAACTACATGTATCAATACCTGGAACTCCAATAAAAATTTGAATTTGATAATGGTTGAGAGTATAATATGTAAGTTTTTTTAAACATTACTTTGCAGACTATATTCCAGGGCTAATGAAAAATTCTCTAGAAGGATTAGGAATCTGTATCCTTTTTAAATTCCCCCAAATAATTCTGATATATATATTCATTTTTGGATATCAATATGTTATACAAACTTATGAGTGAGAAATTACCCTTAGCCAGGAAAGTGGGGGAAACTGCAAAGACTTTACAGAAAAGGTAGCATTAAGAGACTGGACTTGATCCCCAGCAACATGGACGGACAGACACACACAGACACACACAGTCTGGATTTAAAGAATGAATAGGATCGTAGGGTTGGGGATTTAGCTCAGTGGTAGAGCGCTTGCCTAGCAAGCACAAGGTTCTGCATTCAGTCCTCAGCACCAAAATATTTTAAAAGGAGGAATGAATGAATAGAATCCAAACATGTGGACAGTTGAAACAGAAAATAAAGATGGGAAGTATAGTAAAGTAAAAGACTAGTTCACCCAAAATATGCGTAAAGATGTAGCCAAAAACGTGGTTAAAAAAATAAACAAGCTAGGTAGAATGGCACACGCCTACAGTCCCGGCACTCACCAGGCTAAAGCAGTGGGATTGAGAGTTTGAGGCCAACCTGGGTTAATAAGGAAACTGTCACCCAAAAAACCGCAAAAAACAAAAAAATACAAAACTAGTTGGGCATGGTGGCTCATACCTATAATCCCAGCACTCCAAAGGCTGAGGCAGGATGACTGCCACAAGTTCGAGGCCAGCCTGTACTACAGTGAGTAGCTTAAGGCCAGCATGAACTAAGTAGCAAGACCTTGTGTCAAAAACACCAAAATAAAAAAAATTAAAACACAAAACCAGTAAGCAAAAATAGTATGAATTCTAGTTAGAGAATGACACTCTAAAAAAATGTAAGGTGATTAAAAAAACTAGCAGGAGGCCCTTTTAGATAGGGTGGTCAGGGAAGCATTTTCATTTAATGGGTAGGGTCAATACTAGTTCATATGGCACAGCAGTGAAATTAGACATAATTGAGACACTACTGCCATCTGCTGGAAAACTGCTATAATAAAACATATAAATGTACAATGTTGAAAATGTGTTGTGAGCAACCTTGATCAAATATATGGCTCTCTGAAGAGACAAGCCAAAACAAAGCTCAATCCCTAGCACCTCAAAAAACAAGCAAGCAAAAACCTCACGATCTGAATGACAAGGAGTAAACTACAGGAACATCTGCAAGAAATCTAGGCGAAGACAACAGCAAGTATGAAAGCCTTAAAACACAGGAAAAGCTTGACATAGTCAAGAAACAGAAGGCAAGGTCCATGGATTTAGCTTAGTGGTTCTGCCGCCTGCCTTGCAAGCACATGGTCCTGAGTTCGATGTCCGGTGCCAAAAAAAAAAGAAACAGAAGGCAGAAAATCAAAAAGGAAAATGCCCATTTGATGGAGAGCCTTGCAAGCAGTTTATATTGTATTTTATTCTAAGTTGATAAAATATTCCAGAGGGTTTTAAGCAGGAAAAAAGGTGACTCTGGAGATGAACTTTTATGAGGTAAAATGAAACTGAGGACACTTAAGATATGGCAGAAAATGATAACTGCAAGGACTAGGCTGATACTGGTAGAGATGATAAGTAGATTTAGGATATATTACAAAGGTATGACAAAGATTTCTAATCAATTAACTATACAAACTGAAGAAAAGAGGAATTGGGTATGATATAAACTTTTTAAACTTAGCAAATACCACTAAGATGGGAAAGGAGCAAATGAGGGAAGAAGGATGGGGGGAAATTTTAGCATATTAACTGTGAGACATCTATTACAGACAATAAGTATCTGCAAGATCAAAGCAGGGAGTTGAACACTTCAGTCTGAGGCTAGGAAATAGAAAAATTTGCGCTGGGCATGAAGGGTACTCCATTATTTAGAAGTCTGAAAAAGCAGCAGTCAGCAAAGAAATTATTCAAGATCAACCAAAGAAGTAGGAGAAAACCAAGCGAATGTATCAGAAAAGTCAAGCAGAGAGGATGTGTTAAGAAGGGTGTATTAAGAGGGTGTGTTAATATAATTATTATATAATTCTTAAATAAGAATTATATCAAATGTTAACAAGTAACAGATTTGCTAACACAGCAGTTCTTGGTGTCCATGACAAGAGGGAAAGAACACTCCTAAGTAAATGGTAGAGAATAGAATCCACAGAGCAAGTGGAAGGGTTGGCTCAGATTAAGGGCAAGAACAGTCATGCTTTACAAAAGAAGAAAACACGGATATATAATGTAGACTGATAGTTTTACTGGTGGAAGACAAAAAAGTTTTTATTTTCTCTGTGAAGGTAGGCCATGAACTAAGAGTAAGGTGGGAAAGAGCGGCAACTTATGAAGAAAATGTGAAATAGTCATTTTCAAGAGAGGCAAAGTGATTTTAATAGGGAACTATGGTGGGATTGCAAGGCAGCCCACTTTACAGCAGTGGTTATAAATTTTAAGTAAGAACAGTTAGCACCTCCACTTAATCTTTCACAGTTCCATTACATAGAAGATAGTTATCACATACCCAGTTACTCCTTCCTTTCAAATATCAATCCTTTACCTGATCCCTGTGAGTCAGGTTATCTGGGACTCATATATCTTGGTTACCTTTCTCTGTTCCAGTTACAAATCTGCCAATATTCTTTCTAGATGTGATTAGCATATCAAAGGATTACTATTATGTACATAGCAGACATTTAACTACTCAAGGAGGTGGCTAAAATTAAATTCTACTCCAAAGACATCCTTGCACTGAAATATTATATATCTGATCTTACCACCTAACATCTAGCTCAATTCTTAAATCATGTGAACTGGGCCTTTTCTAACTCATGCCAGCTCACAGCCACCACTTCCTCTATAGAGGGTTTATTTGCACTTGTCATTTCATTGGTGTGAGCTATGTGATGCTGTTTTTTTGCTTGTGAATTGTCTCCCAGGTGAAATGTCAGCACTTGGAAGACAAGTAAAACTAGACACTTTAAAATGCCATGAATCTTAGAAGTTAAATCTTAGAATTTAAAATCTTAGAAGTTAAAATATTTTATTTATTTATTTATTTTTTTGGTACCTGGGCTCAAACTCAGGACCTTGCGCTTACGAAGGAGGCGGCAGAACCACTGAGCCAAATTCCCGGCCCGATACCTAATATTTTATTAGTTAACTGCCCAGTATTTTTTCCTGTGACTTCAGAAATACCACCTTTTCCATTTACTATTTTTTTTTTTTTTTGGTACCAGGGATCGAACTCTGGACCTTGTGCTTACAAGGCAGGCAGTGGTACCACTGAGCTAAATCCCTGGCCCTATATATATTTTTTTGTAACAGGGATCAAACTCAGGACCTTGCAAGGCAGGGGCAGTGTCACTGAGCTAAATCTCTAGCCCATACATTTACATATTTTTAGACTGAACATTCTTATAAAAATTCTCACTCTATACTTGAAATACTTTCATACATACTTGGTGGATCAATATTTTCTTCTCCAGGAGTATCTGAAGTTGACAATAGCTATGAAACAGAAGAAAAGTTAATGGGTAAAAGTCAGAAACCTTGAACAATATAATATGAATAGCATCAGACAAGGTTACTTTAAGTAAATATATACACTTCATATTGCTTTGTTTTATAATAATTAGCATACAGCTTTCCTTAAACTTCATCTATTTCTCCTGATTCAAGGAGAGTAGGAAGACATAATGGTTCCTTGATCCATTTGGAAAGTAAGATTTCAGTTGAGTTACTCTCAAAAGGTCTCAAGTATTGTTTGTTTGTTTGTATTCTCGAAAAGAAAGAAGAGAGACTAAAGCTCCTTCTTCAACTCCATCACAGCGGCAGGAGGAATAATTTTTTTTAAAAACTAGAAACAAAAAATACTTTTTGAAGAAACAAGTTGGTGACAAAAATAAATATCAGAGGTGTCATTAATATGAATACAAAATATATAACTAAAGTTAGTAAGAAAATAAGACCTGAGGGTGTAGCTCAATGGTAGAAATCTTGCCTAGCATGTATAAGGCCTTGAGTTCAATCCTCAGCACAAAGAAAGAAGATCCAAGTATCATTTCTAGTAGTATTTCTGAATTATATAGAATTCAAAATTGTTAATTTTTAAAATGTATTTACTTGTTCAAGAAGATGAGGATATCTAGCTTGAATCTCATCAACAAACTCCTGCCCTTTCATGCGTATCAAGAACTCACACCTAAAATATAAGAGGAAAAATATTTTAAGTTATTTCTTATGAAAAATGTAACTTGATCATTTTAGATTAAGTGGTTTACAAACCTTCTTGATTATAACCCAAACAAAAACATTTTATATCACAATCCAGTAGCTATATGTAACTAACAGAAAAAAGTTATCATAAAACACACATTCTTACTGTGTTTTTCTGGGGGTATCAGGGATCAAACGTGGGACCTTGCGCTTGCAAGGCAGACGCTGGAACCACTGAGCTAAATCCCTGGCCCCTTACTGTGTTTTTGATAATTCCAATATTATCATTCCATTAACACAGCAACCAAAAAAAGAAAAGGTCTGGACCTAGAAAAGGGCACAAGTTGACTCTTGAAAAATTCTGTTACAGACAATTTACTTTCAATTGCTTCTTGGGCCTTTTGGCTAAGATCAAGTGCAGACAATTTACTTTCCAGGTTTAATTATTTCAGAAACTGTAACTCAATGCCCCTAAAATTTTATCCTTCAAAATATAAGAACTGCTAATCTTTCTCCAATGTTCATGGTCCTATTTCATGTGAAGCACAATCCACCTCACTCTTTTCAGAAAATATAAAATCAAATATTTTCATCTATACATACTGTGACAATATTTCTCAAGTACATGTCTTGAAACTCAGAGTCTTCTCAGAGGTGTTTCCAGGAAGTTCATGTAACATCTACTGCCATTCTACCTATTTTTTTCAACAAATGGTGCTAGACAAATGAATATGTATATGCAAAAAAACCCTCCCCAAACAAAAGCATAAAACTTTGAACTATGCTCATACAATACATAACATTAAACTAAAACATAAGACATAAAACAAGAAAACTTCAAGAAGAAAATATAAGAGAAAAATCCTTGTGCCCTTACATTAGGTGAAAAATTCTAAGATACTAGGACTGGGTATGGTATAGCTCAGTGGTAGAGCATGTTCTTATTAGCATACATGAGGCCCTGGATTCAATCCCCAGCATGAAAGGCAGGATGGCAAGAAGGGGAAAAAGGGAAGAATGGAAGCAGAGAGGGAGGGAGGGAGGAATTTACCATCAACTGATAAAATGTTATCATTAAAATTAAAAATATATCATCTTCAGGGCCAGGGATTTAGCTCAGTGGTTCTGCCACCTGCCTCACAAGCACAAGGTTCTGAGTTCAATCCCTGGTACCAAAAAAAAAAAAAGAAAAAGAAAAAAAACCCCATATCTTCAAAAGACACTATTGGAAAAAAAAAAGAGACACTACTGAAGAAATGACAAGCCAAAGATTGAAAGTTTACAAGAATGACATAAGCAAGATGGCAGAATAACAGTTGCTAGCCTTCTTCCTGCCACAAAAAACAAGACAGCTATCTATGAATAAAGATAATCCTGGGAAGTCTCAATAGTCTAATTAACCTATAGCAATATAGTGAAGGAAAAAAATAGAACAACGGAATACACAAAAAGGATCACTGGGGAGAGGACCTTAGCAGAGACACCTGGAAACAGGAATAAAGACGGGCAGGAGCTATCTGTATCAACTATGGGTTGGATGCATCATCGTCACCAGCTGACTACTCTGGGGAAGACCCCTACAGCCTTTGCCACTGATGACACCAACAGCCTGAGACAACCACAGATTTCCTGCAGGTTTCACAGTGAAGGATCTTATAGTGCTCATTAGTGTTGAACCCAGCAACACCCAGAATACACTGATGGCTTCTATCACTGTGATAAGGAGTAAGTACTGCTACTGCAGACTCCCTGGAGAGGAAGGCTGTTATATGTCTCCGCCCCAAAAGGAGCAGCTGCTGCACCATCCAGGGGAAGGCAGCCCAGTTACTCCCCCATGCATGCTTTGGACCCCAGACATGCACATACTCCATGTGCACCGGCATGTCAGATCCCTGCTCCACAGCCACTCATGTGCTCTTGAGGCCCCCAGCTTTGCACACATCTGTGCTCGAGACCTGGCTCTGAGACTGCTCATTAGGTACCTATGCCTCAGGCAGAAGTTACCACTGCTGCAGGACAGCCATTACCTTGGACCTCAGAGAAACTATCTCTCCGTATGCATGGACCCACATACTGGACCCTGGCTCTGTGACTCCTCTAGAGGAATGCATACATCAGACACCACCACAAACACAATCATAACTGTCCACAAGTCAGAAATGGTGCCAGAATGGACCCCATAAGCCATGATATTACCCATGAGAGAAAAAGAGATCAACTGTCCAACAGCCTTGCTGCTGCTTTGGACTCTAAGGTCCCTATAAGCCTTGCTGACAATTGACTTCAGCTAATAGAGCTCCACAGATTGCCACTGGATCTCCCATGGTGCCAGAAGCATCAACACCCTACAAGCTAGAATCTTTACACCTATGCACAGGTAAAGGTCTTTCCCCAACAGAACCAGACCCTAATGTCTGGAAGAGTAACTGCTCCATTAAATGCACAGATATTAATGGAAGGCCACAAGAAAAAGAAAACAAAACAGAACAAGAAAACATGACACTACCAAAGGAACACAATTTTGCAGGAACCAACCCAAAAGAAAGGGCGATCTATGCTGCTAGGCAAGGAATTCATAATTGTTTTAAGAAATCCAAGAAAGCTGAGTGAGTTTCCAAAGAACACAGACAACACAATGAAATCAGGAAAATAACACATTAAGAAAACGAGAAGTTCAACAGAGGTTAGAAATCCTTAAATAATAGGGATTTCAATACCACAACTTCAACAAAGGACAGATACACAAAATACAAAAAATGATACAGAAATACAAAAAATCTTAAGAGACTGCTATAAACTTATATATAGCAAATTGGATAATCTAGAAAAAGTGGATACATTCCTAGAAATGTACCTTTCATAACTAAAATCATGGAATAGAACATCGGAACAGACCTATAAATAGTAAACAGATTAAATCAGTAATCAAAAATCTTGTAAAAAAGAAAAGCCCAAGACCACATAGCTTAACAGCAGAATCACAGCCAACATTTAAAGAATTAATGCCAAGCCTTCTCAAACTCTTAAAAGAAAAAATGAAGAGAAGTAATACTTTATATACCACTTTTAATGCCACTTTATAAAGCTGGCATTACCCTAATACCAAAGCCACATAAAGATACTCTAAGAAAACGATAGGGTACTATCCCCAAATGAACAAAGATATAAGGATCCTTAATAAGCTAAGTATGGTGGCACATGCCTGTAATTCTAGCATTCTGGGAGGCTCAGGCAGGAAGATCCCAAGTTCCAGGCCAGGCTAGGGAACTTAATGAGACTCTGTCTCAAAATTATAAAGGGCTGAGGACATAGCTACTCCAGTGCAAAGGCCTTTGATTTAATCCTCATTACTTCCAAAAAAATCCTTAATAAAATACTAACAAACCAAATTCATTAGCATATTAAAAGTATTATATATGAATTGATCAAAATATATGATGCATAGTTAAAATTTTTAAAATACTATTATAGTAAAGACACATTGCCATTAGTCCCCCTCAAAATATCGCCCCCCCCATCAAACACATTTTTTGCTGCTTTTGGAAGCAGTTCTGGAAATCTTTTTTGTAAGTGTTTTTATGAGATATTTAAAAAAAAGGTGAATAATGCTGCTGAGTGCCATCCAACAGAAAGACAGACTTGTAAAAAACATTATCCACTGGATCTAGCACCACACAACTCCTGGCTCTTCCCCAAAGTCAAAATGACCATTAAAGGTAAGCATTTTGAACTGATTCAAGGCATAGAGGCAGTCACAATAGCACAACTAAAAACCCTCATGAAAGAAGACTTTGCTTCAGAAAATGCCAAGAATGATGGAATAAGTATGTTTGCAGTGAAGGGGAGTATTTTGAAGTGGATTAATGGCTCTGTGTCATTTGCTGTAAATTTTTTTAAAAAATTAAACACCATATTTTTCAATCACATCTCATATGCAAATGATCAAGTAGCATTTATCCCTGTGATGCAAGGATGATTTAATATACACAAATCAATAAATGTGACACACCACATATACAGAGAAAATAAAAATCATATGATCATCTCATGAGATGCAGAAAAAACATGACAAAATTCAACAGCCGTTCATGAAATTCTCAACAGATCAAGTATAGAAAGAATGTACCTCAACAAAAAGGCCATATATTGGGGCTGGGATTTAGCTCAGTGGCACAGCACCTGCCTTGCAAGAGCAAGGTCCTGAGTTCAATCCCTGGTACCA